CCATTTCTCAAGTCATGGGCCACTTTTCATGGTATGGCGTGGTTACCAAAAAAATTGTGTAGTTTCCAATTCTGTTTTAAATCCCAGGCATTACTCAAAGGAATCTTGCGCGAAAAATTGTTGCACTCTTTCCTAACATGAATATGTCAGTTGTGATCACTGGAAATAGCACACAAAGTTTCACGCATGAAGATTCGGTTTCTGAAGAGAAACAAACGTACAAAAACTACACGTTATGGACCATCGAAGGACCAGGAGGCAGAGCCAGGCGAGGCATGGAAAGAAGACGGCGTTTGGCCGGCTACGTACCAGGCGACGCAATGAGAGAATCGGGTTAAAGCGCGCGATTTCGGAGAGTGGAGACAAATCGATCGATGGAATAGGATGGAGTAGAAGTGTAAGATGTGAATGCAACGAAGCAGAAGGCCAGAAAGAGCTTCTAGTGAATGCACTCCAAGAACCAAGTTTGAGCATCCCCGTCGCCAGCATTCGTGAAAGACGTCCGTGGGCAATTCGAACGCGTAGCAGCCTTTTCGAGTTTTCGAATTTCTAATCAAAACGAAAGCAATACTTCAGTTCTTTTCACTATTATCGTGGATAATGAGTCTCAAGCCAGTGATTTATGGCTGAAATAGAATCATGATTTTTCCGCGCAAGATTCCTTTAAGTAATGCCTGGGATTTAGAACAGAATTGGAAACTAGACAATTTTTTGGTAACCACCCCCATACCATGAGAAGTGGCCCATGACTTGAGAAATGGGTTCCCTCCTTTGCCCGTTGATTTCCGCACTCATTCAACTCTGTTCGGTGCTGTCCTTTTCAACGCTAACGCTCTCTCAGGTAAAGCAGCAGACCATGAACGAGTTCGCGGTCAAAAACAACCGATAATGAAGTTGTGGGTGCAAAGTCGACCAATAATGACTTAGACAGGGGCTCCCCCTCGCCACTTAGCAATGGAGGAAGACGCTCGTTGGACGAGTTGTATGAACATGCCCGCAGTAAATGCGCCCCAATTGCAATAGCTGGCAATTGCTGGCAAGTAGCCAGCTATTGCAATTGGGGCGCAATAATGGGATCGTTTCATGTTTTGAAGGTAGAAGGTAGAAGGAAAAAATGTAGAAATTCAGCGTTGTCGGCATCACTACATCGATTGCTTTAAAGGATCGACCTCAAATAGTCCCGGCGGTCCCGCAACGACCGCCAATCAACTACGCGCTCTTCACAGCAGCAAGGGGGCGGCTCCACCGAGGCTCGGTGGACCCGCCCTTTTCGAAGAAGTTCGAGCCCTTCCTACGCATTTCAAAGGTAAGTTTTAATTCAGTGACAGTTCCTATGAACTTTACTTGGGCTGGGGCATGCTTCCACACCTCAGGATTGAATTGGTTGAAACCCTCCTTGGACTGTTGCTTTAAGCGGCTAGACCTCTAGCCAGTCTATGGCCGTACCGCGCCGAGAGCGCCGCGGAGGAGGCCATGCTAGGCAGCGGGCGTATCTATTCCGGAAAATTGTGTTTCGCTTCACACACTTAAGGGGTCTAGCTGCCTCTCCACTACCTAACTCTCTCCTTCTTCCCTTTGACCTTATCGTAGAATCCTCCATTATAAGGCCGAATCCTTAAATGTTGGGTCAAGAAATTATTTGAATCGACACAGCGGACGATTCACATTGCCCTGCCGTGCCCCCAAACTATAGTTGTGCCATCGACTATTTAGTGAGGAGTTTGTTTCGATCGCTAGAAAACAACTTTTAAAGTTACCGTGCCCATGGTAGTGCATCCTGCATGGCAAGGAGAAAAGTAGCTGACGCTAGTTCTCGACGGCGCACACAGGGTTGAATAGACCATCACACTGACAAGCGCTGTTGCACGTATGCGTCAGAGAATACGTGTCGAGTTCCACCCTTGAAACAGATGTGATTCAAATAAAGTCGAGAAGAACAACGCTTCACAATGAGATCAATGAACATGCCGTTCGTATGCATTGTTCATGCCAGCGATTTTGATTTTTGGACATCCAAGTAGGAAGGCTGTCGAGCTGATCATCATCATCACAGTGAGGATCATGCACATTTTCATCATCGGCCTGAAATCAGTGCAAACATCACTCTTTGGCAATGCTAGGAAACTGACAGTCAAATATTTTGCTTAAAAATATATTAAATCAAGTAATGAATACGAATCAAATGGGATGAATACATGAAGTGATAAATTTCGAGAATGCGTGAGGCCAAAGGGGAACCGGAAGAGCCTCTCGTCTCTGCAATCGCTGCTGCACCCTACAAAAGCCACAGGAACGTATTTAGTTGGATAAGCTGGTGATTGAACGGGAGCGCTTTAAAGACCAAATATTAATGAATTTCGCACCAAAAGCAATGATAATTCAGTGTAGGTATACAGGGTGTTCCATAAATACTGCAACACTTTTCTTATCTTGTAACTTCTCTCAAAGTGGACGTAAATTCAAGTGCTCACACACTATTCTTAGGCCGTCCTAAAGATGTTGAAAGGAATGATGTTAATTCGATAATCTCCTGGGACGTAGTAAAGTCTCCTAAATAGCCAGTCTATAGTTGGCCAATAGGTCACGTTGACCTCGCCTTCGTCCGCACCTAAAAAGCATGGGGAAAGGCGGGAAACTCGCGCTGACCTGCCGCAAGGGCGAGGTCTATGCCAACATCTTAAGTGGCCAACGTATTAGGTGGCACCTTCCTTAGTTTGCCTCACGATGGCGAAACTAACGGTCAGAGACAAGAGAGAAGTAGTGGTGCGATGCAGAGACGCAAGGGTCCAGTTGTGAGAGTTCCCGCGACCCCCGAAATATGTACCCTACTCGAAGAAGAATACATTTTAGTCGCCGTCTATCTGCGTCTCTTCAATCCCCATGCACTTTCCCCCTTTCTCTGCACGTCATGCATTGGTCGCATTGAGCGTCTCTGTGTCCCTGCCATGCGCAGAGCGCAGGGAAGAAAGGGGTTCGTGGAAGGTGTTGAGTTGTGGGCAGACCCATACCAAAGCCAACTGGAGCTATCGATAATATTGATAACAGTCCACCAATAAGGTGATCTACTCTCCCTTGTAGTGGTCCACCTATTGATCGTGTTGTAGCTACTTCCTTGGTCCCGGGAGCATTTCACCCCTGTACAATTATCTAGGACATGATCCCACATTCCAAATACGTCGATTGGCGCAGTGGGTTCGTTCCTTGTTGACATTGGGTCGCTGGCGGGATCAATTCTCCATGATACCAGATGTTTTGCAACCCTCATAGGTTACTACCTTGCTTTCTACAATTCTTTCAATGTAACACAGCAATGCTTTGTGGTGCAGTGGCAAACGTCGCGCTCATGGGCGCTGCATTACATGGTTCAAGTCCATGGCGACGCGACTTTTGCTAGGAATGTAGTGAAGTTCGCCATTCAGAGCGGGGTCATCTGGCTGTCTCGCCTTTCATTATTCACCGTTACGGCCGTAGTTCACCACCTTTAACTCCCAGTCTATGGCATTTACTACCTGACCCCTGTGCCCGTAATGGCTTCCAGTGTGCTAACAACCGCCGAACTCTAGTGTTTCTCGCTATCTGCGTCTGGAGGGCCCTCTTCGAACGATAGGACCTTAGGATGATCCAGCAGGCTCGATTCGAGAGGGATGAGAGCCACTCGTTTAAGGATGTGAAATCGGGAACAGTATGATTAGACCAGTCCTAGACAATTTTTACCTCTTGTGCAGAAGGTGGTTACCTCTGAACGGGATGTCATTCTCCTGGAGAAGCTAGGTTCCATTAGTAACAGATGTACGCCGACACGCATTCGTTGCTGGTCTGTATCGATTCTACTCACTTACCATGACAGTTGTGGGAACGACCGATGATGAGACTCTTGGCCCGTAAATTGTGATAAAGTTGCCGCAATGCTGGGCGATATTCCTTCACTGCTATTGATTCCACCGGGCTCATGCCTGGCACTCCGAGTTTGAAGATGTAAGCTCCACCTCCATGTGAGGAATTCCGACGAAAACAGTGCCCGCGCAGATCGCCATTTTCGGCCCTCGACACCAGCTCTTTGAACTTTTTGTCTCTGCTGTGCTCCTCGTAGGATTGAGCAGTGGTGCTTATGCAGCTTATGATGGACTGTGGGTAGTTGTTCTCTGACCACTCTCTACATGACTGTGCTTGAAACTCCAGCGTTCTGGTCACCTTTCTCGAGCCAACCCGGATATTGCAGTCGTTTCGCTTCTTCATGCTATTCCTGAGAGGCCACACACGCTGTCACTTTCAACTAGGTGCACCTCGAGATGTACAACGAATGGTAAGCCTTGCATTTGGCATGGTTTTTCACAAGAGGTTAGAGGAAGTGAAGGTATGCCAACCTTATGAGAAGGACTACAGACACCTACCCAATCGAAGCCTAAAATGTGCTGCAGTATTTATGGAACTCCTGCACATAATTTGCTCTCACGTATAGCATACATTATACGAAGTTATACGACTTCCGCGGTCGAAAGACTTCTGCCTTGAATAGGAAAGTTTTTAAAACACTCACGCCGGCGGCAGCCCATATGGCCTCCAGCTAACAATCGTTTACCAGTAGCTTATATCGTATTTTTGGTTATTTATGATAGTATTTAATAACTGATATAGGGTCTATAACGTGACCATGGATGAGAGGTTACACCAGAGGGTAACATATACTTTATTTCAGAAAAGTTTTTCTGAGCCTTAAGAAATTTTTGGGTAATATTTCTTCTTCTTTCTGCTGCCTTAAACATGTGAATTAAAATAGTGTCAGAAGTATAGACAAAGCGCTGTAAATGGAAAGATAATTGTTAAAACGAAACGATGACTTAAAAACTTATTTTAACCTCCGTGGTGGGAGAGGAGTGTATAAATGTTGCCTTTTCGTTACCCCTACTCACATCGTTTTGTACAACATTCTGCTATTATACAGGGTGTCCCAAAATTACTTGCGCCAAATTTCAAAAATTCATTGGAAAAGGTATATCGATTATTTTCATTTCGGGCGCTACTAAATAGTTGTGCAGGTAGGTTCTCTTGTGAACTGCATCGTTATTGGGGTAAAACTGCCAGTATCTCTGAGATGGCGAGAGGTGATCCAAGGTGACCTGCGATCATTCGCGTGCGCGAGCAAGAGACTGCATCTTAGGACATTGTTAAATTTCTTGGTGTTCCCGTGAACACAGTAAAGGTGGCCAACAAACGATGCAGGAGAATAAGAACACTCATTCACAAGCCTGTACAAGGAAGAATGGTCAGCGTGTTCACGGATAGAATCAACGAAATGTTTGCTTAGCAATCCACGGTGCTCCATCAGAAGGATGGCGAGGCCGCTGAATTTATCGAAGTCATCGATGGGGCGCATCATTAAGGAGAAGCAGCACTACAAACTCTATCACATGCAGAAGTGCCGCTTCATTCTGTTTAGCAACAAACAGCAGAGAGGCCAAAAAGTTGGAAGGTTACTAGCGCGCTTCACTGGCGACACGCAACTTTCTGACGAGAAAATATTCGCTGTGGAGCCGGTGTTGAATAGCCAAAGCGATCACATTCTAGTCAGAAGTATCGGGAGTGTCATCTCACGAGGGAAGATTGTTGAAGAACGGCTAACTCGGCATCAGTAATGAATTGGATGTGAGTCGCGGCCAATGATGAGATGCCGTTGAATTTTGCCGATTCATGTGTGAAGCAAGCGCGCGTATTAGTGAACGTATTGAAACCTTGATCCAACCCCACTTTGGGAACAAGCCGTGGTGTTGCTAGCAGGACAGTGCTACAGCCTATGGGGCCAAGCTCGTTCGAGGCAGATGCGAGCTGCGAACTGCCCGACTTCGTCGCCGCGAGGAAATGGCCTTCTTGCTCCCCTAATCTTAACACGTTGACGACCGTGTGGTATGATGTCATACCACACTCTTTCGGCCACGTGGGACCGTGTGACATGATGTCATGTCACAGTCTTTTTTAAGCTGGTTTTCAAACATTTTAGGTAACTTATTTACGTGATGTATGCGCCATACTTAGGCATTGTTACAAAAGGCGTGGTCCCTGGAAAGAAGCTTCGGTTGATGGGCTATCGAGTTTTTCTAAAAATGTTTGAATAATGATCAAATCACAGGAATCGCTAAAATGGCCAAAATCGCATAATCGGAGACCTACCACACAAGAAAGATAACAAATACACACTTCCTGAGAAAAAGGAGTTCTCGTGGGACCGTTTGACATGATGTCATGTCACACTCGCGCGGTCAAAATAATGCGCGCGGTCCCACACGCCAGACAGCGAAAAATAGCGCGGTCGTCAACGTGTTAATAACTGACTCTCAGTCTGGTCCATGATTAAGAGCAAGGCATGTCGAGCTCGTAGAATCTGCAACCATTGCAAGCAGCATCAAAGGAAGCCTGGGAAGAATTGGATAAGGAACACCTGCGTGCAACGTGCGAATGGTGCAAGAAGAGACTCCGGGCCTGAATTCGTGCAGGTGGAGGACATTTTGAAATCTGGTTGTTGCATGTTGTAGTGTATGATGTTAGTATAATTATGTTTATATTCAATTATCATTCTGTGTCCAAAGTTCAAAAGACATTGCAATCAATGCTTAGATAACCTTTACGCATTGAACATTGCTTGAAATTATTTTGGACATTCATGTTTTTGTTCATTTACAAACAAAATCTGCGGATGTGTGGTGAGGCGGCGGCGCCCACAAAATCGCGTCCGTCCCACGCGACCGAAAGTGGAAAAAGGGCGCCGTCGTGAATGTGTTAACCCATTTTAAGCTGCGAAGTCCACACCTGGTTACTGGCTACACTAATGTGAAGATGTGGTGAGTGTGTA